GTTACAAATAATGTAATATATATTTCATTATATGTAAACTTAAACACTTTAAAGTTACAAACAACATAGGTATAGATTGATATCTTTTCTATCGAAACTGAACTAAATAAAATACAAAAATGGATCGACTAAAAAAAATTGCAAAAGGAGAAACAAAATAAAACCCCATCACGACACGACAAATTGATGTCATCCATCCCTCTCTCGCTAACAGTCGCAACATATCACTCGACGCACGTCCTCGGCATTTTTCCTCTATATATTATTAATACATAAGTACAATCCGATGCACTGTTCCCCCCTTCGCGTGATGTATCGCTCTGTCCTTTTCTATATTGTTGGGTCTAGTTTTCCCAAGCGACCGAACCCCGAGGGTAAAACTCCCTAGGGTCGGTATTGACTCTACTATGGAAGGAAAGTTATCTGTACACCTATTGTCGACCACCCCCTCTGTCCCCACTCCAGTTTTCAGCCCGCTTCACCCTCAACTTTCTTATGCGTTTTACGTTTTATTTTTAGAATATTCTAGGCTTTAATTCTTGTTGTTTTTCGTTTGAAACTTAATAGTACTTGTAAAATAACTCTTAGCGTTGTCTTAGGTAAGTATTCTAACTTTTATAGATTCCTAACTACTTATTACAGAAAATAAAACAAAGTTTCGACCGATTTATTGCATGCGATACTAGGATCCGATAATTCTTTCTATAAAATTCTTTATTTTTATATATTACAAACGAATAAGACTTTTTAAAAGTAAATACCAATTGAAACAGTGAACTTTAGGAGCCTTACATTGTGGTTTCCACAAAATTTGGTGAATCTAAATATTGAACATGTCCCGATATTTGAATGGAATATATCAATTTTGGAAAACCTTTTGATATATTTCGTATCATCTTTTACAGATTTAGTTTTACATTTTTAATTGTTCCAAGAAATATTTTTTGATGTTTTAAAAATGAAGCTTTATCCAAGTTTCTACTATACTAGTAATATGAAATACACTTACCATAATTTAAGGCTAGGTGCACACCGAATTGTAATTCGGTAATACCCAATGTCGGCACGCGACCTACACGCGGAGCGGACGCCACGCGACAGATTGACGCGACTAGTCGATTTGTTCACTTAACTTGTTTATCGTAAGAGCCAGACAAATATGTGCAAGAATACAAATGTCACTCCCGCCCTCGTGTAATTCGATACTCAATCACATTTTCATACATGAATCATAATAGGAAGTAATCAACTTAATGTTTCTTGCATTTATTTTTATTTAGATAATATCAGAATGTACTAAAATATGTTAAAACGTATTAAAATGTCAATTTAAGCTTAGAAACTGAAACAAAGTTCTGAGAAGTACAGTGTACCTAATATTTCAAAGGAGTTTATCCATCTTTATAGTTTAAGTGCTTAAAATAATAACATTACAGTACAAATGAACAAACACTGTTATTATCAAAGCAGATTATTAATTAGAGAATAAATGACTAAATAAAATCATAAGAGTGAGTACTCAACATCTACACCTAATTATACTAAAATATGAATATTTAAATAAAGGAACTAAAAGTACCAACCATCTACTGGTTGCTCCAAATAAGCTTACCTTCACACCGATATAGAATGACATCCGGACGGACGCGTGCGACGGTCGTGTCGCACGTGCACCACACACGACGACAAACAAGTGCATTGAAATTATTGTACTTCGATTAGACTGCAATAATTCCGAACCAACTAGATCTGCTTAGAAAAAACGTTGAATGCATCTCTATTGAGTGCTTGGTGTGTTCTCAACGTTTGAATTCCATAATATTTTAGTGTTTCTACCAGAAGTGACATTATAACACAAGGTAAGTAATTATGTAGCCTTTATTGGTATTTATTAGTTTATTGTTTACACATAGTTTGCATGTATAAAAAGGTCTTAGATGAATCTTATATTGGTGTCAAGTAGATTGTTAAGTTATTTACTTACTCAACAGTTCTTCATTCTGGCTTACTTACTTTTGTAGTGAGGTGCAACATTTTACTAATAGAGAATTTACCTGGATTTATAAACCTGGATGTATACTTAATATACTTCTATCTATAATATATATTTCATGGTTATATTAGATCACCATAATCAATTTAACTTAATTAAGTTACCTACTCGACAGTCCTTTACCCTTGTTGACTTACTTTTGTAGTGAGGTATAAAGTTTAATTGAAAGAGAATTTACCTCGTATCATGCCTGGATTTATCTACCTATATAATTAATATACTTTCATATGTACCTATTTATAATATATTTCAGTCATATTAGAGCACCATAATTAACTTAAGCATAATAAGTGTTCGTGTAATTCTGACTGTTCTATTTTAATGCTAATTCGTCAGTAATACGATCTCCATTCTTTAGTACAATTAGGAGCAGCGATAAACCCATGCATTATCTATTGAAGATCACAATAGAATATTACCCTTACAAAAATTGTTAGTATAATATTTCAAGAGGGTGCAAAAGGTACCATGTGTGAAATCACAATGAATCCAAAGTATGTTTTGTTTGACACATGCGAGTTATGATGGATGGGTTATGTCCAGTTGGTACGAGAGGCACAAAGATTATTAATTACTTTAAATGGTGTAATCCAAACATGTTATTATAATTTTTATCTTTTCTACTACTACACAAAAACGTAAACTATTTTTTTTATTAAAAGACAATTCCCGCATTAGGAATATATCCTGTGTTTCGGGGGACTTTACAAACATACATGAAACGGATACAAAGAACACCCAGACTCAGAAAAACGATTTGTGGATCACACAAAGTATCGTCACATGTGGAGATCGGACCCACAACACTCAGCATAGTAGTAAGCGGGCGGCGAGGTGACCGCTTAAACCACTACGCCATCCGTGCAGTCAGTTATGCTGTATTACTCTAACATTATAAAGGTGAAAGTTTGTGTGTGTGTTTGCATGTTTGTTACTTCATCACGCTCAAACGGCTGGACCAATTTTGATAAAATTTGGTATGGTGGTAGCTGGCACTTCGGATTAACACATACATTACTTATATTCCAAAAAAATTAAATGAGCAATGATAGGATGAGCATGGAATTAAAATATATTTGCTACCGCGGGCAACACCGCGGGCCGCAACTAGTAATAATATCTAAAGTTTTGTTAGTAGGATGTCAATATTTTTGTATTGAAATAGAATATAACTATGTGATTGATTGAGCATAAATTGTCGCGTGCGTACTGTTTTTGATAACTTGATTAGTTGTGTTATGGACTATGGTTAATACTATGACTAAGCTGTTATCAATTCTTGTCCTATGCTAGTTGTAGTACGAACTAAATTTAGTCAGAAATGTGCAGAATATTCCACGCCCTTGCCCGCCGCTGCACTACAGCATGATGTCGAAGGCAATTAACTACACAGTTGATTAGACAAGGCTAAATAAATCCTAACCTGCAATACTTCAACCATTAATTTCTGATTTCATGTAATTCAAATGATGTGTTTCAAAACAACATCCGCAAAAAATTCTACGTTAATAAACAGTTGTTAAATGGGTCAAGTATTTGATGAGTGATGTGTTTTTGTGATTGGATCTAAGATATTAAAGGATTGATTGTTTGCCACCTGAGCAATATAACTCCTATTGACTATTAACTATTAAAATGAATGTAGGATCGTTTAATTGTATGTTCATGTTAATAATTAATGAGTAAATAAAAACACATCGTTAGTATGTATTTATGTTATTTAATCTCGTATTTCGTGATAATTTGTTTTATTGAACGATTACAATTTACAATGTCTTATTCGATACGGTAAAACAATAATACATAACTACATAATATATTCACGGTGGATACCTCTCAAAATACAATTCGTTTTGAGTGAATCTAAGCAATGTTTTGGATATATATTTATTATTTTCGTATACATTTCGGTATGAGATTTTCTATCGTTGTACATATTATATTTATACCCAAAGCCTCGTATTCACTGGATATGTATTGTTTCGAGATATGATCAATTCGGTTACAACAATTTATAACCGAATTCGTGTTTGTAACCTTAGCGTGAAAAACAATGAACGCTATTCGAATTTGAAGAATCGAAAAATGTACACTTTTACGTTTTACATTAAAATTTACAACGTTACTTACAATAAATATATCACAGATTGTACAAGAACAAAAAAAACCGACACACGTACGATAGAACAAAAATAAGTAAATTTTTACATGATATTTTAAAATCGTCCTGAGCAGTTTTACGTTAGCCTCAAATGTATATAAAATCTACTCTACGTTTCCAATCTAGCAACCGAACTATTACATGTTATTAATTACCTATTTATTTACATAAATATTACAATTATATTTACAATATCTCCTATATAACTTGAAATACAAACTTTTGAAGTTACTGATTGGAGTATTTTGTTTATTACGTTCTTGAATATAACTTCCTTTTTTTAAAATTCTGTAATTGATGATTGCTGTTATCTATGTGCACTTTTATTAAATCTTGACTTACATTCTTAGATTGTTTTCTTTAACTAAAACCGTCTATCGGCTACTTGGAAGCTAGAGGTGCTGTTTGGGCATACTGCTGAGAATTGCACGTTGGTAATGAGAACGGATTCATGCTGAAGGGTGAAGAGACAAGACCGCCCATTCCTGAGGACAAATGAATAAAATTGTAAAGATAAACCTTAAAACAAAACAAGTCTCTGCGTAAGTTAAATTACACGCATTTATGGAGGAGATGGAGAAGAACACTGATTATTATTCTAAAATCAGTCAGCTGAACTGACTCAGACGTGAATGATTCAAAACAAACATTTTTGTTCACAGTGGTACATTACACAGGATTAGCAAAGCATGCTCATAAACCATACAAAGCGCAACTAAAATAGCGAAACAAAAGGCGTTAAACTTCGATCAAAACAATATAGATTTAAGTAAGGAAACAAAACTACTAACATTGGACGGCGAGATGTTGCCAATTCTGATGATTTTCATTGGGACCTTGCCTCACAACAGCAAAGGCGCTTCTCAGCTTAGCCTCTTTATTCTGTGCCCCTTTCATATCGCTGCCGGTGCATTTTGTATGAATGTTTACCGGACAGTCGGCCAAGCTTTTAGAGCCATTTCTTTCACTGTAATATCCGCTATCTTTCGTATTATACGCGTTATAGTGACGGTCAGATGATAAGTGTCCATTCATGTTCGCCGGATGGTAGGGTCCTAGAGACACTGGACGGGATAAAGAGAACAGGGGTTAACACAAAGCGACGTAAACAAATAGTAGCCGTGCAAAGAAAGCGTTGGAAATGTGAACTTAAATCTTGTTTGTATTGTTTAGTTAGTGAGGGGAAATATTTTGACTTACAATTATTTACATTTAATTTTATAATTAATTTTGTTTTCTTTATATTGAATTCACGTGTTTTAAAAATGACATTAAAAATTTCATATAACAATTATTGTTTAACAATTGCTGTTACAATTAACGATCTCACAAAAAGTTTTAGCCAAATGAAAAAAGTAACATAAGTGTCTGAGTGCGTGGTAGTGCAACGAACCAAGTTCTTAAATATCAGATCAAATACTAATACTTTGAAAATAGAATGAAAGAACTTACGAAAACAAAAGAATCTAACAGAAATTATAAATTTTAAATAATGAATTCAGAACGTTGCCTCGTTTATGAAATTATTTAATATTCCTAAAATTCATGCAACTATTATATCGAAACATGATTAAGATTCAGTCTCGATTTATAGAATAATAAATAAATATATATTTAAAACATGAAACACTCACGTGAGCTAGCATTGAAGAGTGAGGTAGGCGGTGCGGGGTAGTGCTGCGGGTGCGGGTAGGCAGCGGGCGCGGCGTGCGGCGTGGACGCGGCGCTGCAGTACCGCGGCGACACTGAACCGCCGCTGCGCGCGAACTCCTCTAAAAGAAAAAGCCTGGGTAAGAACACAAGGCCATTAGGTTTCTTTGTTGTTACCTAGTATGAACATTGGACGTATAGAAAAATAAATTGAAAATGTAAAATAATATGTAATAAATTTGTACATTTGTTTTATTATTTAATACGAACTATCGATTGGACGCATATAATCCAGACCTATTCAAAATAAAGGTTATTAATATCGTTTAGCCTGTAGGTAGTTTAGTATTGAAGTATGTTTTCTTAAATTCATAACCCACCTTCAGTCCACTGCGAGGCCGCAGTGTCCTGTACGCTGACCGCCAACTGGCCAGTGTACGAGTTGAAAGGCATACTTGCAGGGGGCGACCGAGGTGCTCCGAGCCCAAGTTGATTATTGCGTGGCATTGAGTATAGCGCCTCTGCCAAGTCCGCTGCTCGTTTCAGAATTATTTCCTGTTTTAACAAAAAGTTAATCATCATTATCATCATCTCAACCGAAAGACGTCTACTGCTGGATATAGGCCTCCCCCAAGGTTCGCCACAACAACTATTTTTGTGCTGCCTCCATCTAACGGCTTCCCGAAATCTTCACCAGGTCGTCGAACCACCTTGTGGGGTAAACGTTAACAACCCACGCTATGGTTTCTGTTAGCTTTAAACATTTATAACACAAATGTAGCTTTAAGTATTTATACAAATAAAAATAACCCTTTAATATGTCCTTATAATGCCGCTAACAATTTTTATTACATAATTAAATTTTTCATCCTTATATACCAATACCTATCGTAATGCAATTATACTTATAAAGTTAATTTTTAAGAGCGTAACATCAATGACGAACGCAATGAAATAATAAAAATAAAACATGATAAAAGAATCGTTTAATCGGAACAAAAGATCTTAAAGTTCTAGGCGGGCGAAAAGTAGTACGTAGTACGATCTCTACATACATATAAATACTAGACATATATAAAATATATCTTCATGTTTTTCTACCACTATATATAATCTTCATTTCTAAATTTGAATTTAGTGTCGTATTTTTAGAGATTCATCAAAGCCAAGGGACACTTTTATAGATAGTTACATTACTTCAAATATACAATTTCTAATTTCAACACGAAATACCATTTTAAGACACTAAATTCACCGCACATTAGAGGAAATAAAATAATAGTAAGATATAGGTACAAAAAACGTACCTTCGGCAATTTTTCCGGGTCCCCGGGATGTCTCGGTATAAGTTTCTGTAGCCTCTGAAATCCATAATCTATCGTTGGTTCGTTCAACGCTGCTATGCGAACAACAGAAAAACAATATCAATCATTAGTTGGCTCACTAACAAATGAAAGCCTAATTGATGGATTGTATAAGAATTTCAGAGTTTCCTAATTACTGATTATTTGGCAAATTTGGAAAATAAATAACAAGCACTTGCTGCTCTATTTAGTACAAAGTAACTAATAAATAAACAGGCAATTGCATGTTTAAAGCTTTTGCAATCCTTAATGACACTGTTCTCTTTGAATCACGAATAGCAATAATATGTTACAGACAAATACAAAAACAAAGACTTACAATGATAAAAAAATCTAAAACATTTTGTAAACAACGTTATCTGTTTAGGCATGTGGCCCGTCACAAAGATTCAAGTAGGTACTGTTTGCCTATATTGATACTCTAAGAAAAAAAAATCCTCAGAAATATTGTATTCTCTCCGAGTGATATCTTGAAAAACAATATTTTAAACTGTGTTGCCAACAATCGTGCGGTAATCTTTATGAATTTTGTAGATGGAGCTCTGTACAATATCCGAAATTCACAAACATAATAAAGGTAATTCTATTTACCTTCCTTCTTCAAGTTAACATCTACTTTTGTTCAATGATTTCTATTTTTAATAGGAAGCATTCTGATATAATAAATGTTGCATATATAAACTTCGATCAAAACAAAATAGCTTTAAATAAGAGAACAGGCTTGTTAACATTTTAGTGGAACTATTATATTATAATACAGCTTAAAAATCCGTCTTTTCTTCTGCAATAATTTCCGCCAGAAGGTATATAATGTGGAAAGATTATTTAATGAGGGATAAAATGATATATGAAACAATCAAAAGGTTTACTATCCTTGGTAAACTATAAGTTACGAGTATATTTGAAATATATTTAAGATTATTAATTTAGAACATTCAAGTATTTTTTACTAATATACTCACAAACATAAACAAATCTCCCTGGTGCTCCCTTGCAGAACTGCTTGCTCTTGTACGAAAGCGTCACTTCCACGACTCCTGGTATGTGTCTAGGCGGTGTTTGCACTCTTATCGCGTGCGACGTTATGAGCTAAGAAAGAGAAGTATGCTTGACTAAATAGTTGTTACCTTTATAATGGCTTTTACACCTCTACTTATTATGTTCAAGTATAAAAGCCAAATAAATAATTATCTGAGTGTGAGTTTATTTAATCTCGTACTTACTACAAAAAGTAGCAGTAAATTTTTACTGCAAAAATACGGGCCACGATCAATAATTAATGGATGATTTTGAGTCTTCATGAATTGTGTTTTCTTTAAAAAATCTCTATTAGTACTATCTGAGCCAAAAAGTAAGTACCAATATGAAGACGTTTGTATTTAGGGCTCTAGGGTGTAAAGAAAATCGTTTCGTCTTTACCTCACTCCACACCAGCATGGTCCCGAACACAACTTGTAGTCCATCAAAGAAGTTGTCCCCTACTATGATAACGGTTGACCCGCCTGACGTCCATCCTTCGCTCGGTGATATCGCTTTGATACACGGCGTTGCCACGGGTAACGGCGGATACAGACCTGCTGTTCAAAATACACAAACTTTAATTCGGCCTTTCTCATATCCTGTATATTTTGGGTTCGAAAGATTGAGATGAAAAATAAGAAAAATAAGAAATAAATAAAATAAAAAATGTTTTTTTTTTTAATGAGCGAACAGCAACCTACTTTTTATAAATTTGTGCTCATTCAAGTCATAAGTACACATTTAGATTTATGATCTACTTATATCTTAGGTAAGTTAACTAAGACAAAGGTTTAAATAGTTGCCTAACTTTTGTATAAATAGCATTCGGGGTCGTAAATGGCATCTTGGAAACCCGCAAAAGTAAGAGCTGAGTCGTACAACAACTTAAAAGTTGAACACGAAACCACTGAAACTCGTTCCGTCCTTCTTGAACGTTTACTTGTGTCTGTTCTAGAAAAAGGACAATTCAACAGCGTAAAAGTCACGGTGTAAGTTTCATTGAAACAAGATGTAGCAATACCGGTAGCTATAATTGAAAATGAATTTTAACGGTTGGTAATAAAGTTGGGTATGGAATACAGTTTTACATTCGTTATAACGTTGTCAACTGCTCTGAGTGCAAGGTTGAGGGGGACACGCGTCAAACAAGGGGGAAACTGAAATCTTACGAACAGCGTTGTAATAAAGACGGGAGAAAGTGAATTTAAGGGGACGAAAGGCGATTACTGCGTTGGTTCTTTTTAATTTTACTAATATTATATTCTTCCCATTTAAGAGTGTTTTAATATTCCGTGCAAAAGATTTTGGTTGATGTATTTAATTTATAAGCTTACACCAAATCAATCAAATCAAAATCAGCTTAAGGTCAGACATCGTTTCTGCGTCGCCATCGTTTATAAAAGAATTCGTGAAATAAATATGTTATATCTTTTCCTTCGAGAAGTGAAAATCGCGAGTTTTTTTTTAGTTATATGTATTCTGTACGTGTTTATTTCTTGAAGATGTATATTGACGTATAATTTGTACAGAAAATATTCATTTTTAGGTTACATATAATTGCGTTGAGCCTTACTCCCTTAATCATGCAATTGTAGACGTAGGCTACTTCAAACTCTCTAACAGAAAAACCAAGCAATAACTATCCCCCGAAAATAGCTGCACCTCAATGAATCCGAATAGCCCAAGATCGTAAAAAAATCGCAATCCTTGGAAGAGACCTTCACCTGAGAAGGGTTCCTAACCAAACAGAACATTAAAATAAGTTTCATAAAAAATACAATATTTACTGTAATCAAGAAATAAAAGACTTATTTTTTAACTTTGCTCGACCCAGGTATCGAATACAGGACAACACAATCGCTTATGAACATATTCGTAAAGTTTTACGAGATCGACTAGATAGTCTCGCTTTAATATATTTGTCTGTTATAGCTAAAATACGAAGGCAATGTTTGTAAACAGTAGAAGTATTTTTACGAAGCTAACAAGTTTCTACCTGTTCAAATTTTCTCATTTCTAGCGTGTAATTCATTCGAGTCGGTTTTGCGCTGTCTAGCCCTCTTGAAAACTTTTTGTTACCTTAATATGGAAGACGTTAATTGAATTTATTGTAAACATCGACACTTGTGAAGATGTGAAAGGTAATAATATTGCTCTAAAGAAATAAATATTTATACTTTTTACCTTTAATTATTAATACACGTAAATACTTGTCTTTGGCAGTCAATTTTAAAAAGAAGAATTATTATTATTATATATTCAAAATGATCTTTGAGATCATTTTGAATATATAATAATAAGGAGGAGGAGGAGGCACCATCGAATCTACGTACTGACTAAACGTAGATAACTAGTCGAATCATTAAAATTTTGACTTAGTCAATGCCGTTTAAAAAGTATTTATGCTTAAGATTATACTATTTCTATACTTGTGTGTGATCACATATATAGTATATTATTTAAACAATTTCTATACTTGTTAACGTTTAAAAAATTGATATAACCTAAACTGCTCTGCTGCTTGTTACTGAAATTATCTGGTCGGCACTATAGGTTTATTGTAAATTATAATATATTATAATTATAAGTGTATAGAACTTTTTGATGCTACAATAAAAAGAGAAGAAAAAAAAAGATTCACCGAATGTCACATTTTCTTTAGTGACTGTCACTATACTAAAAAACAAAAGGAATATCACAAAAAAGATTAAAAAGTAAAAAAAAAAAAAGATTTTTAAAAGATTTAAAAGATTTTTGATCTTAACCCCATCGCTATTTACTAGTGCCATATCTGATATTCTCAAATTCATTAAGCGACCAATGAGATGTGTATTGGCATATATTATACTCAGACCAGTTGGTTCGTATTTTATTTTTGACACTTCAAAAAGTAGTTGAAGTAATTTATTTGAAAATTATTCTTTACATCCATTATCATAATTTCTTCAAATGGCTCTAAATAGATAGGATGTACCTATATATTTCTCTAAAAGTTTGTCGCAGATACGTTTTCTAGTTCAAGGTAGTTAACCAAAAAACAAAATAAAATAAATGAACAGAAGTCATCCACACTCACAGAATTCATTTGTAAATGTATGAGCTTACCGACAGAGTCCCGGCTACAATAATCACATTGTTTCTAATATTAAGAACTGTTTGTTAGGTAAAATGAGATAAAAGTAAAGTAATAGAAGATCTCCTATGCTAAGATACCGCAAGACGTCATACAATATATGTACAAAAATAGTACAAAATCATTTCTAAACGCATGTACCAAGTTTAGTACGGAGCATAATTCCTCACTAAATTATCCCTATTCGCTTCATGCTCGCTTCAACGCCCCCACCCACCCCGAAACACCCGACTGAAGTTCTTTGCGAAATGTCTACAGTGATTCCTTGAATACAAACGACATCTTAAAACGCTGTATTATGAGTTTTGCACATTTATCGTCAATTGACTGCTGAATTTTACACGTACTTATTTAGGTGTGAAAACCAAGAATCCGATGATAAATGGTAGCGAAAATTTTTAACGCGAAGCTTTTGAAATAACTAATAAATAAATCTTCTCATTCCTTAAATATACAATGAAGGTAATGTGTCAATTAAGTAAAAAAACAAAACAAAACAAAAAACGTACAAGTATTATCAGTCGTGGCGTCTGTACCTTCGCTAGGATCTAATCTCTTCGCTCGTCGGCCATGCTTGCTGTTATTGTGTACAAACATGTTGTCTGATATTGCCAGTAGAGGGCCATCCACCATTACTTGTGTTGATATCACCACCTGAAATAAATAAACAGCTTTAAAACAGTAATAAAAGATTGACTAGAATTAGATCAACACGAAAATTATGATTTAAAAAAAATAAGCTTTTTGGAATTCTTTTACATATAAACATTAAGAATAATTAATAATATTAATTAATTAATATCTTAATTAGTACTTAATTATTTAATTTCACATTCTTCAGTTCGCAAAATTTGTATCAAAGGAAACACAAACAAAATGTTATAGATATTGGTTTAAAACGACTCGTGTATCTTTAATTATCTATTTACAAGGTATTATAAATAAACAACTCTGTCCCTGAGTTCACTTTACAAAATTATGCAAATGTTAGTTATTGGCCTTACAAAGAAGTCAAGGAAGTGTGCTAAAATATTCAAGACGTCTATTTATAAGCCAAAGTTCATAGAAAAACCAAAAGTACCGTCACCAAAATAAAACGCATGAAGATATATCACGCGTCTACGTTTCACACACGGGTATAGATACCCCACATTCCAACACACACAAGCGCGTAGGGAACTGAAAGGGAAAGTCTCTTGGGAGGTGGAGCCAATGTCTCGGGAACCGACGAAATGGACGAAACTCTTCCAATGGGTATGCAAGGAAGTGCATTGTATGCATGTATGCGTACGTATTGGGCATGTGAGCGTGGGTGGTCGATTGATAGACGGCCATTCCATCGATATGGCTTTAAAATTCTGTATTTTTGTTGAGAAAACGAAGTAGTTAGTAGTCAATTACATAAAGCGAAAGCTATGGTTTTGCAGTTTTTAATATTGATAGGTATTTTATTGTATTTGCTACAAATAAGGTTCAATAGCGGAGCTGCAAAAATAAAATCTTTAGGTACAGTAACTTTTTACAATAAAACTTATGCTAAACAAATGTATTTTTGTACAGTTTTTTTAATAAAATATTTCAAATTTGTATTGAAATTCGTATTTAATTAGTTTACTCTTAAACAAAGGCTTTGTTAACTCACTTAGTTACGTAATATTTATTATAACATTACAAACAGTGTGAACCGTCGCTACTTTGATGTCTAAATCACCTGGAATACAATATTCACGTCGATAAAGCGACTGCATTATTTCGATTCCTACACCCACCTATAAATATGTACATAGTTATATATTATACCCATATATTCTTACCCTTGAAACGTTAGGGAACGACCACTGAATTATTCAATGACACACAGAAAGCCCAAATATAGACATTACTTCACACATACACACACATTGACAGAAATTGTTTGTATTTCTGTTGTATGTAGAAATGAGCAATATGTGTGTTTCATTAAGTTCTATATTTGTTTAAAGTTGGTAAGAGGACACGTAAGACAAATATGTCTTAGACCAAGTATGGAAGCGAATTTGTGCTCATGAGTAGAGTGTGTGAATGCACCTTTGGAGTGGTTATTTCAGGGCTGTAACTAATTAGTTAAATTATGATGTATAAGATTTTGTACTCGAAGTTTAGCTATTAATAACGATTTTATGATTCGTTCCACTTTTATAACAATTAGAGAACAATCGACAGTCGGAAACCTATATGAATAAAACAATTTACAAACTACTAAATAAGTAATTGAAATTAATTTTCTTTGTCATATTTTTTATTCTTACACTTTTGAAAAATATCTGTAAATAAAATACAAAATGAAAGGCTATAAAACGTACTCCCTTTAATTAAAACAGCATAACTAATTTAAAGAATACAAGTAAACGGTGAACAGAGATCGGTTAAAAGCAAATAAATAAACTCTTATAAATAAATTTAATTTTATCCTTCCCCTAAATTGGAGGCGTTTCAAATATTCAAGAGTCGTGAACGCAACCCTTCCTTCCGTAAAGGCCAATACAGACGGTGAGCGGTGCAAGTCACGAAAACATAGGAATGCTAAAATGTTTAAATATTTCGGTCGTACAAGCTCTGCAGTTTAAGTAAACATATGAAGAAGTTCTTTCTTGATGAAGAATCTCAGAGAACAAAGCAGCTTTTTTGTATATGAATCCATTTAGAAGCAGGAGCAAGAAGACGCTTTGTAGACCAGGTGTGCGTGTATGTGACGGCAATAAGGACGACGAACGAAAAAGACGATAAGGTTGTGTCTTATTCCAAGCTCATATCTACCAGGTTACAAGAAATTTTAACTAAGATCTGCAGCAGCTAGATCAACAAAGATCTTAATGTAAATATGGTACAAAAGAATCAAAGCAATTCCTCCTTCCTCAATACAAGTCCTTGTTAACCGGTAAGTATAACTTTCAAATCATAATCAAACAAAATAAGCTGTATTTTATCCCTTGGACTTGAACTCCCGTTGACTTTTTCCTAATCAAATTGTGTATCTTTTCCTGTTTTAAAACCAGTTAAAAGACTGATTTACTAACATTGTATATTTATCTCTAAGAGTATAATAATAATAAATAGGATACTTTTTAAAAAAAAATGTTAGCATCTAGATATTATTTGTATCTCTTCTAGATATAATTTGTATTTTTTTTATCACAATGAACATTTACAAAAGTTTGTATCAAGTCTTTCAATATGACTTAGGAAATGCTGCTTTGACAAACTTATATACATACTAAATATTTTATATTGTGAAAAAACCTTAATATTTTCATTCATTTGATTTACATTAGTAGACACAAGAACCTAGCAGCTATTTGCTGATTCGCTATCATTTTTAAAAGAGTTTCGCTGTTTGTCTCCAAGATCTATATGAAATTTAAATTGGACCATTTCGGAGTAAACCCCTTTCGAACAAAAAAAAGAGTTTTGAAAATCCATGTATATATGACGGAGTTATGCCCAAACATACACAAAAAACTTTAGAAACATCCGAATTGATAACCTCCTCCTTTGCTCCTCCGTTGACCGAAAGGGTTTCTTTTAACCGACTTCAAGTCGGTTAAAAAAAACATTTTCGGGCAACTGACACACAACGCCATCTACTTAGTTTTAAATTAAGCAGAGCTTGTACTAATGAAAGGCAGATTGACTGATAGAATCATCATCATCAGTCTATCGCAGTCCACTACGATAGGCTGATGATGGTTTGGCTCGGGAATCGAACCGGAGACCTCACCACAGCAGTCGCATACGCTACCACTGCATCATCAAGGCAGTATGGACATGGTCTTTTCTATTTGTAGTAGTCTAGTCTTGTAGCACAGGCGGCATTATTTGTTCTTTCTTAGTGATATTTCTCTTAAACTTATTGTTGCTACATATTTTTTAGGTAAACGATTTCAGAATTTATTCCTTAAATGTATTATTTGATACTAAAGGAAAACTTACTTTAAAGTTTATTTAAAGATCACAATTCGCAATAAATCTAGATATATAATTAATCTACCCATTCAGCAAATCAGCACTTACCTTAACTTTAACGCTTCTAGCAAGCGTTTAGGCAAGCTAGCTTATTTGCCACTAGTTACGCTTTAGTAGTTAAAAACCGCTTTACGCACAAGATAAAAAAACCAGCGCTTCACCGCTTGTGTCAGTTTCTCTTTACAATAGTCATCTTTAATCCCCTCAACTGTATTATATTTTCAACTTAGTCAGTTAAACCGAGGGTCCTCGTCATCAGGAGCTTAACTAGTAGATGTACTAGAATACTGTAATTCTATGCATGGATTACCAACCTGAAACCTTCTCATGTCGCGTGGGTTGCCGGCATTCTTCAAACAATTCTGGTTGCATTTCAGGAAGAACTTCAAGAAAAACCTGTAACAAAATAACATTTAAAATATGTATGCCGATGGCAACTTTTTAATGTTTTTTTTAATAAAACAAGCGGTAATATCCGTATACTGCTCCTGTAAAATATCGACGGAAGCGTGTGAACAGATAATTCGCTGCAAATGATGCGGACACATAAATCAAACGTTGGGAACAAATGAGTTATCGACGCAAGAGAACTGTTGCCTATTAAAATATCGGGCTTCTGAACGTTGTGTACTGCGTCAGGTCATGATACCTAATAACAAATGGATATTTCGTCACTACTTTTATATTTTGACAAGCCTGTTGGTCTAGTGGTTAGTGACCCTGACTGCTAAGACGGAGGTCGTGGATACGATTCCCAATATTGTGTGATGAGCACGGTCATTTGTTCTGTGTCTGGGTGTAATTTATCTATAATATGTATGAATTTAAAAATATATAAATATGTTTATCAGGAGTCTGGTTACCAAAGTACAGGATCTGCCTAGTTTGAGATCATTACTTATTTTAAATCAAACTTAATATGAAATTGATGAAATAATAATGTTAGAAATATAAAACTAAAAATACTACTAATACTACAAATCCAATACTACTGGAGGCAAATGCACTAACACGCGTACGTTTTGATTATCAAGCACAAAATAAAAACTACTTATAGAGGGTGCTAGTTTCAAAGATGTGATCCTGGAATTTAACTAATTTCTCAAACTCTGACTACCTGCTCTAAGTTTGTCTTCAAGTTACACACCAGCTGTTTCCACTTCACAACTACGAATATCGCTTAACCTAAGTATTAATTTGTTTCTTGTGTTCACAATTTGTACCTTCCGCTCTTCCGCAAAAACTTCACACTTTTTGTCTCTGCGGTAGTCGATGTGTGAATTTTACGAGTACTTTTTAATTTAATGTAGTAAAAACGAAAGGTCGTGTGACAAGTTGGAAAGATTCTGTTTAAAACGGACGTGAAAAGGAATAAAACGTATGGACAAAGTGCAGACAACCGAGCAAAATGCATTTCCACATTTTTTGGGAATAAAAAGAAAACTGCGTTGTTTTATTGGTTGTCAAAACGAAACCTCGAAACAGAATCAAACAATTTCCAACGAAAAGTCTATCAGGCCAACTATCGGTATATCGGATTACACACAATAGTCGGACTCTACGTTCATTTCTTGAATGCTTAACTATGATCCTTATGCCATTGACGTAAGGTCCACGCGAGGCGTTAGTGTAAGTTGGTGCGTAATGTTGAGCGTACGATCAGGCGGGCGATCACGATGAATGCTTTAGCAGAAATATTTTACATAGCCTGAGGCACCGGCGATGCCGCCACGCCGAATATTGCTGTGCCAACACGTGTGGATTTACTAGAGTCGCTAGACACTCGTGATTATTGTGAAGAATTATGGTGGTTCCTTAATTTGAGGATACAAGATAAACACCAAAAACTGTAAAGAATATCGATTTGGTTATTAAACGTTGATACTAACATGAGAATTAAAGAATAGAAGAGTACGCGTTCGAAGCGAGTCAAATAATCAATTGGACAAGATGAAAGAACCTATTTGTTAGAATTACCTTTGTCTCTCTGCCCTAGGAAGATGAAAGTAACGTCAGTCCAGAATATGTGTTGTTTAAATAGTCATAGACATCAACAGTCTTAACTGTTGTAGACATCATAAATGCGAGTTATATTTCAAATTACAAACGAGATCTATTTTCGGTAGAACTCACAGCCAGACACTACAGACAAACAAGAACTGATTTCAGAAGAAACACAAAATAAGAATAGACTATAGACTCGAATGATGACTCCAAAAATGAAACGGTAATAACAGCTCTATGTGAATAGTAAAAACGTATTGAGATATGAGCGGTGTTGGTAGCGCGCGAATGTATTTGTGGTGCCCGCGGCGCCACACATCTGTTCGCATTATTTATGTTAAACACCTTATGTCACAATATTGCGAGTTACGAGTTTACGCCACTGTCAAACGACTGTTCTTCACGTGAATGGGGATTTTATTTTAAGACTGCGATAAGACTGTCTTAAGTCATACACAACGATTTTAAATTAACTTACTCTGGTTGTCTTTTAATATAGACATATACGAGTATATGGCAATACTTTTTCTTTTCTTACTATAACAAACGACATGTCCGTTCATAATTTATGTGAAATGAAAAAAGCTATACGGCTATAATAATATCATTACCCCTGACTGACCCCTAGTAATGACCCTTTATATACAGAACCATATTTTTGCCGGACTCTAGTAAGATGTATCGTAAAAGTACCTCCCCTGGTCGTTCAAAGCTTGGAACATTAATATCGGGTAAGGGTCACCTGACAGTCACGATATCCACAAGTATCGCTAAGCCTTGAAATTATTGCCTTTCGATAACTAAAAGTTGTGGGTTTCTGTTTTGTTATTTAAGGGAAGACGGTTTATGAAATAAGCTTCAAACATCAATAAGTCACTTCTAATAAAGACAGCATAAAACAAAGAAAAACTCCTATCCATTCTAATTTTCTTGTATGTATACTCGTAGTATTTCACTTATTTTGTAGGCTTTTTATTTATAGAAACAGCATCTTACGATTAGATCTTGCGGGCTAATTTAGTTGTACAAATTTTTTGAGTAATATTATAAAGTAGAGGTACTTTGTTATTATTTTTTAACCGAATTCAAAAACACAAAAGAGGACGTTATCAATTTGTCTATCCGTGTGGTGACGGATTAAGAATACGAACCGACTAAGGGAGCAAACCACGTAGGACAACAGCACTGCAAAGAGAAGGAGAACTTGACACAACCCCTATACCAACCCAGCCAGGCCCGCGTTACCACGCGGGCCTGGCTGGGTTGGTATAGGGTATAGGGTTTTGACCTACCATACCTAGTAGGTCAAAACCTCCTTTCTAAGGAGAGGCATATGCTCAGCAGTGGACTATTTAAGGCTGTTGATGAAAATGTTGATTTTACTACATTCACTCATAAGTTGAAACATTTTTTTCTTGTTTTGGATTCTATACTCTATACTTCTATATTCTTTACTTCTATATTCTATACTTTGGATTCTATAAGGGAAAATAGCAAACTTTCTGAGACTACTTCGTTGTCCGTGTGTGTCCGACATAATAAAAAATATGAAACACTTATATATTTTACTAGAACTGTGAAATTTTCAAGACACAAGTTCACACACTGCAATAAATGGCAACATTTGTTTTCTTCTCATACGTAAATCACATAAGCAATCTTTTAAACTCTTATAATAAATTATTTTAATATATTTTACTATGCATTTAGACTGCTTTTAAAATTTTTAAAGAAATTTCTTTTATCTGTGTAATTATTTCGTTTAACAAGGATACCTATTCCGAACAACTAGAACCACTCAAAGCCTACAACATTTTTTATACTCTATCAGTACATAAACCTCTTTTTATACTCATACATCTCACTATTCGAAAAAAAATGTAGTACGGCATTGAGTCGCGGCAAAGAGGCGAGGCTGTAGGCTGCCCTCTTTCAAGTCGGAACACTGAAATACCCCTCATTCCCACCCCACGACGAATCGACGTAGACTATGTTTATTTGCATCGGATATTCTTTGGGTACATGTTAGGAAAAACTTCATTTCCATCCGCAAACCGCTAAGTAAAGTGTGTCACTTTATACAAAAAATTGGAATAAAAATGACTCAAACTTTATAAACTTCAATATTATAATGTCAAAATGTTATTTTAAAAAATCTACACCTCAAGTCGAGTTAGCTTAAGCTTACTGCGCTACATTTAACACAGACCAGTAAAATGTATCATATGTTTAATCAAACTTAAATGCTGTTAGTTGATAAGCGTTTTACTTGAGAATGACTGAACGGATTTTTTATTTGGTTTTAAAACATTCATAATACCAAGAACTAAGTTTGTAAGTGAAGAAAGACTCGAAAGATCAACTAAAACAGTCAAAACTTTAAACATATCTAAAAGAGCTTTTTTCTATGGAATGAAAATGACTACAAACAAATTTATGCAAATTCAATATGCCCAACGTCCGTCAGGTCAGCTGGTTTAATATAAGTTTCCAACAATATCATAAACTATTTACTTTAGCACTCAACAAACACAACTAAAGAAAGAGTCACGAAAACCACATTTGAAAATCGAACTACACAGATCCGCCAACAAGCGGTCTCTTATAACTTTTCCCTTTTAACCTTTCGTCCCCCCCTTGGCCCCGTGGCGCGTCCCGTCGCCGACTCCCTCGGGAGGCGTTCCCCAGGGCCGGCATAGACTCCCCTGGTGCGCCCCACCCTGCCACCACTCAATACAGACACGCCATGCGGACACCAAAGATTAAGCAGGTGATAGCGTAGTTGTGTAAGTTTACTATGTCAAGTGCTACTTTGATGGTAGGCTTACGTCGATTTTAATTTTGTAGGTAGTTTTTAGAGAAGGCTAAGGTTTATTGTATACTTTCGTAGAGTAAATGTTTAGTTCGTCTACCTAGAAAATATTGTGTATATTTAAATAAATTTGGATTAAAAAAAACATCACAAAGAATCGACCGACATCTTCCCTACGTGAAAAATGTTTTACGGACAGTCATCATTATTGAGATCATCACGTTTAACAATTTAAATAGTTATTAACCTTTTGAGTTTGTGACCATTTATGTCTAAGTTCTTGAAAACATATTTTGTTATTAAGAAATAACTTTGGCAGAAAACTAAAAGTTAAGAAATCTTTTTCACGGACGGTCGATTCTGCGTATATCTAAATAAAATCGTTGATTTAATCTTTGTGTAACATGCGACGGGCCCATAACGGGCCCAGTTTTCGACTTGTTTTTCCGCGTGCTTCCACAGCAGGCGTTAATATTTCAGTATGTACCAAATTCAAGGGTTAACTGTTACCAGTCTACGCTGACGGTGTAAATAGACGCGAACAATTGAACGATTTCTATTGTGATTAGAAACGATGAAG